CACCTACACACACACACACACACACGCACACACACACACATGTGCGCACTGACGCAAACCACCCCTTCCCGCCGCCTCCAACCCCGCCCCCAGGCACGTACGCCCCCCCAGGGTCCCGGCTGCCGGCCATGCGTCAGCTGATGCTGGACAATTTCCCGGGCCTCAACGTGGGTCTGGCGCAACGCGTGGGGGGAGACAGTGGCCTGACTCGCTGGCTGGCTTGACCCTGATCGCCGCAACTGCTCTCCTCGCCTGGGGATGCGGCTTGGAGGCTGCTCGCTGCTTGTGACACCACACACACACACACACACACACATGCACACACACACATGCACACAGCAACACGCACCAATTGCCTGCCACATGCCCGCCCGCCCGCCCCACCATCAATGCAGGTCGAGGCGGTGGACAGCCAGCAGCGCCCACAGCTCATAAAGCTGCTCCACGCATACTGCCCCAGCCGCCAGCCCCGCCCGGCCGCGCCCTCAGGGCTGCTGGGGCTGTCCGCGGGCCGCCTGTCTGGGGGGTCGCGCCACGGCAGCGCGGGCGGGTCGCGCAACAGCCGCTCCTGAGGCGTGGCGCCTTGCGCGGGCGGCAGTGGGCCGTGTCCGCACTGAATTGAGGGCGCAGATTCGACCTGCCGCGTTCATGGGGATCACGGCCAACCACATTGCACAATGGTTTGCATTGCTCAAATAAAGGCTCCTGCAGCTGCGATGGCAGCTGCTGCTACTGCTGCTGCTGCTGCTGCTGCTGCTGCTGCTGCTGACGATGATGATGATGATGTCCATAATATGTTGGCGGAATCGATGGTGTTTGATGGCCCCAGTATGGCATGGCAAGGCAGGCAGCGCCCCACCAGCCAGCACAGGCGGTCATGGGCTTGGTCGGCTGCCGTGTTTTGGCCGGGCCCGTTGGCCACTGCGCGTTGCGTCTCGATGTGGGGCTTCAGGGTCTGCGCTTTGAGCGGCTTACAAACTGCAATCGGAATGCCGCCTGCACGGGCAACACGCGAACACACACTGCAGACAGCCAGCCCCGCCGCAAATCAAATACTGTGTGCGGCGGGGCCGGAGCAAGAAGCATGCACCGCTGCTGCGACAACGCTGCGGTCGAATACAGAAGTTTTTTGGTGTAACACAGCACACGTGGTGCACAACATCCAAGCATTTTCAAACACAGACAACAGCAACGCCAGACAGAGCTGCAGCCAACCCGGTCACCAGCCCTTCCGCCGACGGCTTGGTCGCCCCCTTGATTGAGGGCTATACATGCAGATCGCGGGCCAGTACTATGGCGCTGCGCCACAGCTGAGTCAGCCGCTGCTGCCGGCGCGCACCCACTCGCTTTCCACAAACGGCAGCAGCGCCAGGGGCACCACCGCCACCACCGCCACCACCGCCCCGCCGCCACCACCGCCGCCGCTCCCTGCACCGCCGCCCTCCGCAGCTGTGCGCGGCAGCAACGCCCGTAGCTGCTGGACCACCGCGCGGCTGCGCTGCTCCAGCAGCAGCTGGTACGCAGGCGGGACGCCGCCGCCCTCCCCTGCCGCCGCATCCGCCGCCGCCGCCGCTGCGGCAGCC